AACCGACCCGGTCTAGTATTGAGATGTATACAAATAAATGCATACATATGTGAATATTCATACATACATACATATGTACACAGAAATCAACAAACGTACTTATACATAAGTATGTATGTATGTATGTGTGAGTAGTTACGTCTGTGCGTAAGCTTTTTTTAAACGCAAAAAGAAAGGTCAATGCGAAGGTTAGTTTGGAATATCCTACGCACCACAGCATAAATACTTGCTTCTATTTATAGGGTACTTTTTTATGAAAATATGTATGACGTTTCGTTTTCCACCAAAAATTTGACCTGCCCATTGCACTCTCCTTATTATTGGTCGTAGAGGGAAATGAAAAGTTAAAATTTCTCTGTAGAAAAGAAAGCGCCATAAGCCTTATTGTCAATTGTGGTAGTGGCGAAGATATCTACATATTCACCTGTGATGGGCATACTTAACTACGTTTGTCTTTTAAGTACATATCAGTTTGGTACTAAATACCCAAATAGTTCCGAGTATAATCTAAGTAGCCCTCAGTATCTTGAAATTCCGAAGTAGCCTAAAAATATTCCGGAATTGTGCCGAAAGTCTCGAAGTAATCTCGAAAATTTCGAAAAAATCTGGATAATAGAGGAGTGGTCCCAAATACCCAAAATAGTCCCGGTAATTTCTAAACAGTCTCGAAAATCAGAAAGTATGTAGTCTCTAAATCCCGAAATAATTCCGAAAATGAAGATGTGGTCACAAAAATCCCAGAACTGAATCAAAAACGATTAGGAATTGCATAAAAAATATAGCTAAGCTTATCAGAGGTTATGGCAGGATGGAGAGATCGAAACATCTTTTTTTTGTATTTTTATAAAGGCAATGAAGGGGTATTTGATTATTTTGATGAAATCTCTAAGTACTTTTGTACGCGGTATTTCGTTGGGTGAAACTAACTAAATACTTTAATATTTAGTGTTTAATGCGGTAAAACGAGTATGTAGCAACATCCAAAATACTTTGGTATTTACTGCAACATAAATACCAGAATATTTGTGTACTTAGTATTTAGTAGATAAATACAATTTTGTCCATCACCGTATTTGTAATGAAATTTCACCGTAAAAAACGTAAAAAAAAAATTATTTATAGTTGGCAAGTATAGACTGAAAATATAAAAATATTAATAGTAATTAACCATGTTTAAATATCTTCCTATTGAAATCAATAACTGACTGCTTTATGGCGCCTAAATCAATAGAATCCTAAAAAAAAATCGTAAAAAACCACTCGCAAAATTTCTTACCATTTACTAATTATTTTAACAATTCATGAAACATGAAAATCAAGAATTTATTTTTATTTTACCTACAAATATTCTGAAGAATCAAAAAGTCTACAAATTGTAGCACCCTGTATGTATTTCAGATGCTTAAGGATTAAGTCCCCACTCCCATCAACTTTTTTTTATATTCTAAGGATTAAATCCCCACTCCATTAAACTTTTTTTTTTTACCCGCATTCAAATACATACACAAAACGTAATAAAACGAAATTTCGTTATACATAAATATTCAAATACATAATTAAGCTTTACCATTCGTAACGTATGCGCATGTCTCCGTGTAAAAGCTTTGCATACAATTGGCGCGAAAAGAAAGCTTTCTTTGCTAAATGCTTTCGGTAAAGCTAAGTATAAACTTTTACGCGGTTAACTACGTTTCATAGGGTAGCACACGTGAATAATAAAAGCCAGACATTAACTATTTTTTTTATAGACTTACACCTCAAAGAAATCGCAGCGTGCTTAGTTCTAAGTTGGATGATGACTATGACTGAATTATCATTAGGAACCAGGGTTGCGTGATTTTAAATTAGTAAAATCCTGAATCTTTAAAAATAAAATTGATTTCTGAATTGAAAATTTAACAAAATCCTAAATAGTATAAATTGATTATTTGTTCCACGAATCGAATCATAAATTAAATAGGTATGTGATTTGATTCGTCGAACAAATAAAAATAAAATTTACTAGTTATTTGATTTGTCGAGAAAATCTATTTGATTAGTGATTTTACAGTTAAAATCATTTATGTAAAGTAAGAACGATTTTAGAAAGAAAATTTTGGTTGATAAATCAAAACGCAAATAGAAGCTACTTTTATTCGGTCGATGAATCATACGCAAATCAAATACATATGAAGGTTTCGTTACTAACAACAGATTTAATATTAAAAAGGATTTTAAATGACGCAACCGTGTTAAGAACATACTCTCACAGCCACATAAAAAAAAATGTCAGGGCTCGGGGATCAGACTATCCTTCCCTAATGTATTTTGATGTGCTGACTACGATTCTTAAGGCCGTTTTGCCCCACAACGTCCCTAACCACAAAAAAAGAGTCCGTCACATAATATCCGTCTTTATCTTGTGTTATCTATCTAGAAGGAGCAACTTTAGACACCAATACTACCGACACTTATAACCGTAGCTGAAGCTTAAAGATATTGTCCCGTAGTCATAGTCAAAATAAAGTCGACTTTAAAGTTAGTTGCAGCTTTTTGACATAATTTTCAATGGGATATCTGTCAAAAAAGCTGCAACTAACTTTAAAGTCGACTTTATTTTGACTATGACTACGGGCTATTAACCTTAAAAATATGTACATATTTACCATTAACATTTTCACAGTTTTACGCACTTCCCTTTCTACTACTTGATTCACCACCGTGGATGGTCTCCGGCAAAAAGAAGATCGAGGCAGCTGCCACCAAAGAAAATATTCCAAACACCGTTGGAGGTATCCATGTACCCTGCACTGACAAGTCCACTATGAATGACGCGCTCATTGTACCCACGCGTCCGGCGCACACACACACACACAAACCCACACCAGATTTACGCACCACTGTCGGAAATAATTCACCACTTTAGAGGTAGAACCTTTGGTGGAAATAGGCTATTAGGATGACGAAAAAGGTCGAAGAACTAACCCTCTGCCTTGGGAGCTTTAGATATAGTATCGTTATTATCGAATCACAATGCTCAGTTATATGCCATCGAGTTTCTTGATTCCCTAAATCCTTCTGACTTGCCTTTGGTGTTTAAATTGATATTCTCTTAACGTAGACGACGTACGTGGTTTTTATACATTTACCATAATTGTTCTCAACAAATTTCAAAGTCATGTGAGTTAGGTGTGCCGCGCCCTCTTGTACAAACTCATTTATATTTACCTCACTATAAGCGCGTACTTTAGTTATGTCTTCACAACAAATTTTGAAGTTATGTGAGTTACGGTTTCCAAGTTATAGCTAATTAAAATTGTCACGCCTATGGAAGATGCCACACGCCTTCTCTGATCCCATTTCTTTATACGCTATGTTATGTCCGAGGTCACTGTCTAGATACCAGTTAAGGCCTCATGAAAATCCATTAAGTAGTTCCAAGTAGACAAATAGACAGACAGCAAGTAAAAAAGTCTAAGTGGGCGTGGCTTTGCCCTTTTTCAAAAATGTATTATATTCTTATTTTTCCACAAGAGGTCATTATAAATATCAATTTTGGGTGAATAAGCTTCTGTAGTTACTAAAGTATTCGTATTTCTGAAAATTACCGTTATATAGGATGTGGGCGTGGTTATTGTCCGATTCCGCGCGTTTTCAATTCCAACCGTCCTTTGCTCAAACGAATTACACCTACCTACCAAGTTGCGTTAAGATATCTCAATTTTTACTCGAGTTATCGTGTGCACAGACGGACGGACAAACGGACAGTCACGGCTAAACGATTTCTTTTTTTCATTCTGAACCGTTATGTGAACAAAGATATAATACCCTTGTGCACAAGTGCGCTCGGCTATTAACATTCTAAAAATAGGTCCAAATGTATTCTATATATATTCTCTGCATCACCTTCGGTCATTCTTTTAAAGAAATTTTCAATTTACAGACACGACTTTTCTACAGTTTTACTATACATAGTATAGATTAAAAAATAAGTACGCACTTGAAGACTAAGTCATTCTAATTGAATAATGAGACTTCGCAATAGTCAATATTTTGCCGGGCTAATCAGTCGCACTGTTAACTGCAAGCTGATCTAAGCGTAGCGAAGTTATGCGCTTCGCTAAAATAAATTGACAAACGAAATTGTATAGAGTGTGAGCGCAAACTTCCCGGAATTGTAGGAAAAGATAGAGTTTAATACTTTGAAACTGGACCAATATACGTAATGCACAATGGAGAAGAGTGCAGGTGAGTTGGAGTTGCGAAGTGAAACAGATGACTTTCCACTCACCGAGTCTCATTTCGCAGAGAAAACCACACGTACCGATCCAATCATTTCGCTTTTGGGCAGTGATTTGGGTCCGTGGCAGCTGATTATCTGCCTTTGGATTTTTCTATCGAAATTCCCCGTCGGTTGGGTGCAAATCTCTATGGTATTCCTGCAAACGCCCCTCAAAAGCACTTGCGTCACGCCTGACAATAACACCGATGTCTGCGCAGCTGAGTGCAAGGAGGTCGCCTATGATCGCAGCGTATTCCAGGAGAATATCATTAGCGAATGGAATTTAATTTGTGAGCGTGCTTGGCTAGCCAGTTTGGCGCAGAGTTTCCTAATGATTGGCATTATGTTGGGCAGCATTAGTTTTGGACTTCTTGCCGACAGGTGCGTGAGAGTTGCTTGAGTTTACAACTATGTATCACTTACAAAAATAATAATCTACTCCGCTAGGTGGGGCCGTCGTCCCATGTTTGTGGGCGCTTGCGTTATGGAATTTGTTTTTGGCTGTCTGGTTTCGGCGTCGCCATGGTTTTGGCTTTTTGTGTTGCTTCGTTTTTTGGATGGTTTCGCTTTGGGTGCCACCATGTCTACGGGGTATGCAAAAACTAAAACGCAAGTCAAAATATTATGCACTTAATTCACGTAACGTTGTTTTCCAACAGTTTCACCATCATCATGGAGATAGTCGGCCAAAGCAAACGTGAGACTATGGCCATACTATTTCTCATTCCATTCAATTTGGGCCATGCCACACTACCGCTCTTCGCCTATTACATACGACATTGGCGTTGGTATCATCTTTCCTTCTCTGCGCTCACAGTATTCCTTCTGCTTTGCTATTGGACCGTACCAGGTAACAATATTTTCACAAATTACATTTCTATTTAGGTAATTATTTAGTGCTAATTTGTTGCTCTCGATTTCAGAATCACCACGCTGGCTCTTTACCACTGGCCGTACTGGCCGTGCCGTTCAAATACTCGAAGCTGGTTGCAAACGCAATAAAATGCCAACTGCTAATATACGCACCGAGCTTGAGCAAGCCGCACAACTTATCGCCGCCACACCCACCTCGCAGAAAGGCAACTTCATCGATCTCTTTCGTTATCCTTATCTGCGTCGAAAGACTTTGGTTATGACCTTTAATTGGTTTGTCACATGTCTCGTCTACTTTGGCATGTCACAGCTTATTTCTCAACTCAGCGGCGATATCTTCTTAAATGTCGCCATTAGTGCAATTCTTGGTGTGCCCGGTACGCTAATCTGCATTCCGATGACCAGAATTCTTGGCCGACGCTTCACACTCTTTCTGTCGCATTTTTGCACCAGTATCCCTTTGTTGGCATTAGCTTTCACGCCATCATTGGGCACCACAACGAGAATGGTAGTGGCGTCGATAGGTCTTTTTGCGGCATCTGTTTCGTCGCCGAATATCTATCTCTATGCAGGCGAATTATTTCCCACAGTGGTGCGTAACTCAGGCATGGGCTTGTGTTCGTTTGTAGGTCGGATTGGTTCGGCTAGTGCGCCATTCTTATCGGGCATGTCTGCGGAAGCTGAATGGATACCGTTAACGGTGTTTGGTGGCTTTTCCCTGGTGGCAGCTGCCTCGCTCTTCCTTGTGCCAGAGACTCGTGACCTACCGCTGCCCGAGACCATTGAAGATGGCGAAACATTTGGTAATAAAAGTAAGAAAGTGCAAATATCATAGAAATAAGTGCAATTTGTTGTCTTTTGAGCAATGCGGGAATTCACATATTTACTGGTTTGGTAACTTTTAAGTAATTTTTAATAAAAAAAAAAAAACCGCGTGAGTACCGGGTACTCCTGAAATTTTATGTGTAAACATCTGTGTACGACTCGGCAATGCATTAGGTTAGAAATTAAAATTTTTTTTAATTTAATTAATTAATTATTTTAATTTAATTTATTTTGTCTGGATCAAGTGGTTCTGAAAAAGTCGTCAAATTGCAAACTAGTCCCGAAATTGTGCTAACCTCACCGTTAACTAGACCCGAAATGGACTGAAATATCATCCCTGAACAAGTGCAGAAATGTTCGATTGTACACCCAGGAAGCAATTGAAAATTTTCAGCTGGGTTCGCGCAAATTTCATCATACCCTCGAGCTAAGAACTTACGTATCAAAAAACTTAAAAATAAAATTAAATTACGAGTACAATGAACTATTTATTTGGTAATTACGTTGTTATCAAATGTTTTTATTCCAATCATATCAGAGCCCTGTCTAATGGATATACGCAATTAGAGAGGTCTCTTCACTTATAACATAAGTGCTGTTGTATTGTCTAGTATCACTGCGGTTCACCTTCTTCAACAATTGCGATAAACTTGGCTACAAACAACAACAAAAAAGCCTCCAAATACCGATGGCTGCACTTATGTAAAGTACCAGTACAGACATAGATGATTTGCAAATTCCTTGTAAAAACTTAAGAACCTAGATTTGTATGTTCTCTCAATGGGTATCGGGCGTAGCAATATTAAAACACACAGCTTGCTTCTAGGAGAGTGGAGCCATCTCCAATTGAGATATTATACTATAATTAAAAATAAAATTTTCAGCCATGAAATGCACATAGAGTGGTTAATAATTTCCTCACCCTTTGTTGGAATACGTCATCGTCGGAGCATTGACGCAATATCACCATCTCATCTGCTGGCGCTTAGAAGAGCTCTTATTCAACTTTAAATACTTTCGTAGAAAGTTTCTTTTTAAGTCTCAATTTTAATTTTTTTTTTTTTTTGTCAAACCTAGGAGTACCCATTTTACATTTTTCGGTGACAGTTACATTCGGCATTAAAAGAACTCTTTTAAAATAGTTCTACTAGAATGATTTAAATACTATCGTAGCAAAAGTTTAATGATTTTTGGTGAGCTTTAATCTACTGACATTAGGGTTATAAAAACTGAGATCAGCACTAAAAAGGGTTATTTGAGGTCAACAAGCTTTGGTAGAAAAAGATTGTCAATGAAATGGATAAATCATACTTTAAGATCCCACTGTAAATGCCAAAGACATGACGAAAAATATAAAAGACTAGAAAAAAATTTCGAATTGCGAAAATACTTTCGACTCAGGCTTTATGGCGAATTTTTTTCCGGCACGGTGCAATGGACCTATACCATAAATAATAGGGTGACTGATTTGGTTTTCCCAAACTGGTTCTTACCGGTTTATTCGGCGGCTTTTTTAAAAACTTTGTATTTGGAATATCGAATAAACCGGTTTTTTACATTTCATAAAAAACTTGACCTCTCAATAAGTTGAGTTTTTCGAAGTTTTCAAGCCTTTTTCCAGGTTAGGCGAAACCCCTAAATCGAGATATCTACACTTTTACTGCAGCTCCGAAGAAGTACACTCAGAGGGTTGGTTGCCTTTTTTTAATGTTTCTGGGACATCTAAGCACTCATTTTCGGCGGTAAGAACACTATGAAAATCCAAAAAAAAGTCAAAAGAAATGCAATAAATTATTTAAAAAAAGTATTAATATAGGACCAAACTCGAATTTTTCACTGATTTGTATTTGATTTACTTTTGATCTAGAAAAATCTTTGAACTTATTTTACTTTGCTCTTTTCTAAAAATAAGCTATCTTTAATGTTAACAGTTTTATTGTAATTTTTGGTCATGACTTCATTTTCGCTATGTAAAATAAAACCTGTTTTTTTCAAATTGCAATTTTTCGAATAACTCGAAAACCGATTTTGGAAAAAATGCGAATAATCGAACACCCTAATGAATAGTTTCAAAGTGTATTTTTCTCAGGAACACTGCTATTGAAATTAATTAGTTTATATTGAGTTGTTCTCCTTTTATAAAAAAAAATCATTTCCAGGTCGAATCCTTTGTGTGTGTGTGTTTTTTTTT